AATATAATTAATATTAGAAATTACATGCCATACAATTAATTACCTATAAATTACAATACACACGGAAGGCTCTGTGTGTGTATGTGTGTATACACAGAGGCTCCCTGGCATGGAGCTGGGCACACGCAAGGTACAAATTGGGGAGGGTGCTCCGTCACTGCCGGACCCCTGTGGACACCTTAAGCTGCCCCGTGACGCGGCTCTTACCTGCTGCCAGCACCCCAGATCATTTATTAAATGTCTACGGCATCATCCCGGGCGAGGGGTTCTTCCCTGAATCGCTGCAACTCTGCACAATCCCCGTCTGGTCCAGACGTTGCAAAACCTAACTAAAACTTTGCCTTTAATATACCCAGGTAGAGCTGCAGCACCGAGGTCAAATGCGGAGGGAAAAAAAAAAAATACCAAGGAAAGTCAGGTCTCTGCTGGCAACACTCTTAGAAAGCAGCAATAGTGCACATCCCGGTATAAAGTGTTTATTTGAGACTTCACAATTAACACAAAGTCTTCCTTTCAATGCCTTTTCTTTTTCATACAGTCAATAAATTTGTATTAATCCCTCCCTCCCCCATGCATGATTGCTGTTTATTAATCTAAGCCTTTTTATTTTCATCGTGAAAAAATAAAGCGTTTCCCCACCAGTTCATCTGTTCACTGTACCACTGCCATCCGCTGTGCTGCGTTGAAGAGGAGGAGATGTAGAACGGCTATGCCTACCACTGGGGTTGAAGTTACTCCATTATTTATTGATTTATTCTTTTTTTACAGAAAGTGTTAAATGAATCAATCACCCAAGAAAAATAAATATATCATAAAGAACCTAAAGTTCTGCAGTATCCCTTTTCTTTACATACAGCTGCAGTTCAAACACATACGTTGCTCGTGGCAAATAATTTCATTTGCTATAACGCCATCACCTTTACGTATGGTTGTGAACTTACACTGAGAAAGAATCTGTTCCAAAGGAGTAGAGCCACGAGCCAAATTTCTATGCCTAGGCAACAGAGATCCACATGGAAGCCAATTACCTACGTTCCACTGATTGGCTTTTACTCGAGAGCAATTCAATCTTGTGCTTTTCAGGAAGTATCGGCTAAACACAGGCGTGGGCTCGGCCAGAGCCAGACGTTAAGGAGGGTGAAAGGCAGTATGAACGGCGAGCCCGATACTCACGGCCGTGGAAGCGAGTTCTCGGTATCAATGTCTCTCGGATGTGCATCTCAAATTATGCTGCTTGGCTCGTCTCGTAGTACTTTTGGCACCAGCCTCGCAAATAAATGATTTAATCACTCACCCTACCTTTCGAGATCTTCCTTGGAGATGGCAGAGGTCGAGGAGGCTTTCTCGTAACAAAGCTGGTACTGGTAGACCCTGAAGTACAGACCCATATCTATGCTTTACTGAATTACTGTGCAAAAGGGAATACTGCATCAGAAACCGTAGAAGACTATATTTTAATCAGTCACCAGCCGCTGTATCGGAAACCTGCTAACAATTGCTCCGATTGGTTCGTTTGGCTACTTTTTGTTGGTTTCTTTCTTTTTTTTTTTACATAAATAATATAGACCAAACATTATAAACATTTCAGCAACCATTTCTAAAAGACCGGAGGAGCCCTTTTAGGCGCCAAGAAACAACTGCAGGATTCAAATTCCAAAACTGTCTTTGGAGTCATCGAATCATCAGATTTACACCGCACCCAATGACAACAACATTCAGTCGAGCTCGATAGGACTGCTATCTTCCTGACCATCTTCTGCGTCGTCGTCTTCTCCAGTTCCCATCAGGCTGTTTAAAAGATTTCCTAGAATAAAATACAGGACAGTGAAAATTCCTGGGTTTACATTCTCAGAAACTTTTAACTATTCTCCTTCCATCCTGCTAGGGTGCAGATTTCAATAATACTAATTTTTAAAAAAAAAAGAAAAAAAGAAGGGGAGTTTGGAGTAAAATAGTCTCAGCAAGACATTAGCATTCCCACACCGGTTTCTATTACAAATTTATTGACTTGGGAAGCTCTATTTTGATACTGCTCGTTCTCTAAGAAGGAACTTCTCTAAGAGTACACTGGAAAAAAGCCACCAAAGTCACATACTTATGTACTATAGTTGCACCCTAAGACGGAAAACACCCCACAACTGAATGGGGAAAGACCCACCTCCAGCAGTGAAACTCAAAAAGCAGCAATGGCCTGCACCACGCTATACAGAACTTGAGACGCAAGGGCATTTATGTACTCTCCCTGTTTTATTCCATTTAAAGAGCCCTGAACTGCTGAAAAGCTGTTATTTACATACAGGATCTATGACGGTCATGTTTTTCATCAGACTTTAGGTACCAGTGAATTGACAGTCGCAGGTAAAGCCTCAAGTCAGTTTACAAACACAAAAGCTTAGTTCTCTGGGAAAAACATTTGATTTTACAGAAGTAATCCAGTTTGATTTGCTCACATTTTACTCAAGAGCCAGGAAATTAGGGCTGAATTTCTCTATTCCCCTTCCTTTCTTGTAGGAGGGCAGTATGAATTTCAGAACTTCTACTTTGGGAAGGTTCATTTTATATCAGCACCGGTTAGATCTCTACCACAGTCCCAGACTTGACTTACTTAAGGAAAATCAGGCACTGAAATTTAAAGAAATTAAGCTTTAACACAACTAACATTTTTCTTTATATTTGGAAGTTATACTGTAATGTCAAAAATTAACCATGAGAGTCATCTACATGCTCCTCCCCTTCTCAAAGAAGAAAAGTCTACTAGTTTCACCAAATTAATTTTACATGCAACCAATTCATCTTGTATTCTACAGTAGGGACTGTTTCTACAAGCTATAAAAAACCTGCTATACCCGTTAGAACAAATCATCTGTTGCCAGCACAGCCGTTTTGTATAAGTCACTGCTCTGAAAAGACCGGTGGTACCTATAAACAATGGTCAACATAAACCTTACCTAGTAATCCTCCATAGGACGACGTCTGCTTGGGCGGGACTCCAAAGAAAAGCTGTCCTATTCTATCTAGGTACTGAAACGACACAAGATGAAGAACAATGTCAGCGGCTTAGTTTCCAGGAGGAAATACTATGGGCAGCAGTCACACCACACAAGCTAGATTATGGACTCCTATCTAGAAGTCGTAAAACAGGAGACAATCAGCTATTATTTAACTAATTCTGTAGGTTAAATCCTGTTTACAACTATGAGTAACTCACCTCATTATACATGGGATCTCTTTTCAGTGAAGGTTGATACTGTTCACACAACACTGTAAATACTGTTAGTTTTCCACTGGAAAGGAAAAAACCGAAAATGTAATCTCAGTAACAACTGAAAAGGAAACCAAGAACAACACAAGAAAAATCAGACTGTACCCATCAACCGCCAACAACAGAAACCAGATGAAGTTTAGCAGTGGTTGAACAAAGGGCGGACCCTTTTCTATGGAAGGATGTTTCTGTGTGTATGTTGTAAAAACAACTGATGCGCTGGTCTTATTTTTTAAGCAGAGAAATCTGAAAAAGGAAACAGAACAGGGCAAGTTAAAAATAAAAGGCAGAGTAGTAGTTTTCAATGCAGAAAGAAAAGGGAAGCCAAATGCTCAACAATTTCTACTTCATTTGTGCATAGAAACCATCTCAGGCTTAAACTGATGGCAAAAACTTGAACTGGCAGAGGTGTACACTCTTGGCTATCAACCTAGGAAGGGGAACATCGCTACTAAATGACGCTGTGGAATAAGTGGATTGGGAGGGAGAACTGACATTAAATATTAATAGAATGAGTTTAACCAATACGTAAGCAGATTGTATACAGGACGGTTACTTAAAGAGGGCAGCAATTAAATCAAAATGTGGAAGGACTGGCCACCGCATAATTCAAATTAAACGTGACATTGCATTTACTGGTCCAGAGTTTACGATGCTGAGCTAAAAACCTAATTAAAGACCTCTTCTCCTGGTCCCATCCACTCCCAAACACATCCCCTGCCAGTGTCCAACAACTCTGTCATTCTCTTAGCACTACACCTCAGAATAACATGGCATCAGGATCACTACTACCCACGTCTAAAAGTCTCATGATAAAGCTGCACTTCGAGCTCCCAACCTGTTTGTCACCAGCTAACAGATCGACTTCCCGAACTGATCAAATCTTTGTTCGGGTCCAGGTAATTTAACTGGCAATCTCTGCAAGTCCCACAGGCCTAACAAGACTTTATCTGGGACAAATGCTGTCACACGCACTGGGAAAGCTGCCAGGAGCAGCCTCACGTTTGGTCGCAGGCTGGCCTCCAGTGCCGGACCCTTACATGTGCAAGGGCATTGGGCTCTTTCGCCTTACTGCTGAGCAAGGAACTGCAATTATTTTCATTAGAGTATAAACTGCTATGTAAGAGGATTTAGTACAGTAAGAGTATTTGTGATATAGGCTGGTAAAGGATGCAGTAGTAGTGCTGTATAAATACTGAAAAAATAATCTCTTGCTCATAACTTCTCCCCAGAACTCGCTCCCTTACAGAACAAAGCCCCATAAAACTGTTCAAGAGTCCTGCATTTCATACAGGATTTTCTACTGCTCAAAATCACTGCAATCTCTATCAACCAGCTATGGAAAGCAGGGCAAATCTGACATGACAGCTCACTGCTGCCAAGAGAGAGACAGACTTGCTCTCACCTCCTCTCTCTCCCCCAACACCTACTCTCTCCCTGACTCCCTGCTGCGCAGTCCTGTCTCCACCTCCTCCTCAGACTCCTCCAGGAGCTGCGTTCCCTGACTGAAGAAAACCATCAGCTGATTAAACACAGTAAAATTGGCTTTGTCAACCTAATTGTACATGAGCTCTGCAAAGGCACATAATAGCTTGCATTCCCACCTCCTACAACACAAATGCCAGAAGCAAATGAAAACCACCACCAACTCTGTCAAATCAGGAACCGCTGCACTGCTGCCTCACAGACCATGGTGACCCCAGACAAATTGTGTCTTAGGACAATAAGACTGAGAGCAAGTACTATGCTAAAGGTAAATATGGAGCCTACTTAGGTCCAGTCTCGGTAAGAACATCAAGGTAAGCCCTAACTAGACATGAAGTGGTGTTAACAAAGCTAACAATTGTGCTTTCAGGGTCAAACAGATTATATTAATTCTTCAGGCACTTAACGTGATTTCAGGTTTCAACCTTAATACATTGTGGTTTGTTTTTTGTTTTTTTTTCTTCTTTCCCCCATCTGACCAATTCACACCAGTTTTGAGATGGTTTTCTCTTCTTGTTAATACACCAAGTGAGCTTTGGAAGCTCTGGCCAGTTTCACAGTTTCTTTTGAAACGGATGCATGGTTAACATACAGTTATCGTGATTAAATTAGATTGGCCTCAAACACAGTGTCATCTCAGCAACATAAGTAAAAAAAAAAAGTTAACACCTACTGTAGTACTGCCTGTGCTACAAACATGTCCACCTCACTGCGATATCCCCTGGACGAGGAGTATTCTACTAGCATATTTGCACATCCCTCGCCATCTGTGGAGTGCAAGAAGTGATACCGAGATTCACTATAGTTTTGCTCTATAAAAGGAAAAAGAAAATGGCTTTTAAGAAATCAGTTCGTCATATCTGAACATAAAAACAAATTTGTTAGGCTGGTAGAAGAACAAGAGCTACACACAAGCTATATAAACAAGACAACTAGCAGAAAGAGAGTGGGCTTTTTCCTTTATAAGTTACAGACAATTTGTAAAGAGAGATAATAAATACGTTATCCTAAATACATTTAACAACTGCTATTAAATACAGTTTATTCAATGCGACCACAAAACATGGCCACCAGTGGGACAAACAGCTTGAGCTGTGGTCACATCACTTTGTCCAAGAGCACGGTGACACTTCACATGTTGTCGTTAGTGCTGCAGGGAGGAATTGGGTTCCACATTAGAGCATGTGCACCAAGAAGCCAAACAGCACCTTTGGTGTCCTTCTAAGCGCATGGAAAGAAGGCATTTCCTATTTTTAGCTTAGCCCACTCTCGCTATCAAAATTAAAATCGCTTCCATATGCTGAATAGAACAGCAATCATAGAGAAAAAAGGTGTAAGAAATCACAATGATTTGTTAGAACCTAACTTGCAGCAAAGCATCATGCAAAATGACTGTGATGACAAATCAAAACTGGAAAGCTGCTCATTTTTGGAATTCAGAAGCTTTGTTTTAAAAATCTGAGCCTTTTCTGATGAAACTCTCAAAAACTACAGACTAAGAAAACGCATGCGTTTGCCTCTTCAAAAGAACAGTGAGAAGACGGCTATAAAATGGGGATTTTTACTTTCAGAATGCAACTGTTTCTTATCCTAATCGTATCTCAGCTTCTATGCTCTGAGGAAAATCCTCTCTTTCTGGCTGGCAGCAGGCATCAAGCTAAGCTAAGTCCCACGAGAACAGCTACGGGATTGTGTACGGCACACGGAAAGGCAGTGAGCTGGAATGTTGACCATTGGGTCAGGACTGCTATATGAAACCACTACCGCCACTTTGCAGATACTGAAAAATTTAAAATAAACAAACAATCATCTTGCACAGTTATTAATTCATGAGAAACCACAGAAGAGATGGCATTTATTAAAACTGTTCTCACTCACCTTTGTATGTTCTGAACATAAGACTTTAAAAACTGACTATCATCCACAATGAAAATAATTATTTAGTGCATTTTTGGTTTATCTTACATCCCATTACAAGTGATAAAATCTGAAATAAATCAAAGGCAACAGCATTCATTCTGGAATAAGCCTGCTGGTCAACATCTCAAAAAATACCTAATTACAGATCCAAAGACAGTTTTGGATGCTAGGTGATGTATTTCAATCTTTGTCATGTTTATCCAGGATTTAAAAACAAAACAATAGAACAGCTTTGCTCCCCAAAAAATCTCCTTCTAATGACTCCATCAAATTGCCTTAGTGTCTAAAGGGTCAACCTTCCTTTTACAGAGCTTCACAGCAGCTGGGTTGTGCACTAATACAGTTACAGCCCTAGGTGGTGTGTGGTTTTGGGGTTTTTTTTGTTAGTAACATTAAGCTGATGTTATTGCAAAAATCAGGTAACAGCAGAAATCAATCACTTCCATCTCAGCTTCTTTAGATTATTTCCAAAGTAGATCTCTTATCATATCATACTTTCAACATTTTCAAAACAAAACACAGAAAAGCAAGTTGATTTTTCTTACCTTTCCACAGGGTAATTGCTAGTAACTGGTGTAGTTTTGGATGTCCAAGCTTTCCTGATCCCCCGCTAGACCATTTTAGTGCTCTGGATACAAAAGCCACTCTTTCAGGAGAATTTGGATCCATTAAACTAAACAATTTAGCCAAGTTTTCTAGAAGCAATAAGATTCACAAATAATTAGCATTAATAGAAGTAGGATGACCTGCGGCTTCTAGTGCATCTTTAAGATACAGCATTTAAGTTACGGTGCTATTGTGTCGTTAAGCTCCCTTAACAGCTTTCATAAGACACCTCACAACAGAGTAACTTTGAACTTGAGCTACTTCTCATACATCAAGTCAATCTTGCATCTAAGTCAGCAATATTTGTACGATCCCTCCACAGTCAGAAGTTGTGCCTCGGGTCAACTTCCCTGCCTCGTGGTTTGGGACAGGACATCCTGGAGGACCCCGCAGTTCCAAGGAGGAGGAAAGACTGCAGGTTACGGGACTGCTTGTCACTCATGGGGAAGTTGTGAGGGACAGGGGGCTGTCCTTTGGAAAAGCACCACCAGAAGTCATAGATGGAATACAAAATGTCAGAGCTGATCTAAGTAAACAAAGAACAGCCTCTGTCTGTCCGTCCCATCCACAAGTTGTTAGCAGGAGCCCATGCTGCACCAGTGGTCTGGCCAGGCTGCTCTTAGGAAGGTGTTCCTGAACTGTCTGCTTACCAAATCTCACGGTCGGGTGAGAAAAATTTCCCTGTGAACAGCTGAATCACAAATAACACACACACTGCCACACTGCTAGGGTGGGAAACCACCATCCACCAAAGCCCTGGGGACATCAGTGACTGCAGACAATACGTTACTGCTCTATCAAGGAAAGGACAATGCCACAAGACAGCAAAGTTTGTTCCAAGCATGCCCACAAAATTATCAGGAATCCATTATTCTCTAATAAAGTTTCTCCCAGTCCGTTTCTATGATGAAGGTAGCCCTCAGCCACGCGGGAGGGCACACAAAAAGGATTTCAGGTTTCAAGACTGTTAACAACAGTCCCTGTGAAGCGAAAGCACATCTGAACACCATCAAACCGAGTGCAAAGGTCACCTCACCTAGAAGGTCATCTGCTACTTTTGCATCCGATTTCTCCAAAGACTCCAAAACCAGCATGGACAGATCAGCAGCACTGTTTTGCTACAAAACAGACACATACAGGTAGTGATGGACATATCAGTAAATAAAAGAAAACATCAACCAGAATTTAGTCAGAGGCAGATTTAATACTTCTATCAACATCTCTAGCTAAGGCACAGTATCAAGTCTCAACCTTCCCTTATAAAAAAATTACAGTAATTTGACGGCATCAAAAGAGAAGCCTCCAAGAAAGCGAAACAAATGTGTTTACAATTATTGTTTGGATGCTGACAAACACTTCTGCTTTATGTTCCAGTTTGGCATAATCCTTCTTTGTGGAGAAAGGCTCAACACAGAGAAAAAACAAAAGATTACAAAGCAACTACCCCAAACATTTACCACTGAGAATTCACCAACCACCCCTCAAAATCTTTGAATAACAACCTCCCCCAAAACCACACACACAAAAACAGTGACTTACCTGGTTATGACTGAAGAACAGCAAAGCCCCTGAATACATTAGTTCTCTTGCTTCTGCATGTTTTCCTTGTGACATATACCTGGAAACAATGCCAAAACTTAAGAGATCACTAGAACTTAAAATAAAGGCAATAAGGGTTTTATTTTTAAATCAGGCTAGTTTCAATAATGAGGTTCCTTTAACTGCAAGCTATGATTAGCTTTTGGCTCCAGACTTGATGGAATACAAGCGAAGTTTATCAAAATGAAAACCAAGAGCTTCAAAACTGATTTGGGCTGAAACAAAGAAAAGGAAATGATCCCAGGCGTTTGCCTGAGCAAAAGCTGCCAATGTACTGAACTACACCACTCAGATCGACACATCAGAGCCTCTGCCGAAACCACAGTGAAAAATTTTTGGAATACAGCAGGGACAGCTCGCACACCCAGCCCTCTCCTCACCGATGTCTCCTTTCTACTGGTTTAAGTCTCTCTGAGCAGTACTACCCTCTGCCAGGGGACATCAGCACAAACTCAT